CAAAGCTTTGAACGCAGGATTCACTCATGCATCAGTATCAGGCTAGCGGCAAGTGGCTAGCTCTCCAAGAGAGAAACGCACTTAAACTAGTCGTCTTAAAATTGAATGTAGTGGCAAGCTCCAAGCGGCATGTTAAGTTCCTGAATGCTTAGACTTGCGGCAGTTCTCTTTACACCCGGTAAAACCATGTAAAACCACCAACCGGAGGACCACATGTCATACGACTTCTCTCTTTAGCTAGGGAGACTTCAAGCATTGACTCACTGCAAAACATTTCTTATCCGGGTGTGCCAGGCTTGAAGTTGCATATTGTGCTCAGCTCATAAACAAGCGGCTACAAAAACATTGTCACAGGAAGATGGCGCCATCCATGGCTTTTCTCTCCGGAGTTGCCGGGGACGTTCCGGCGACGAGGCACTGTTCTGCGACTTCTGACCCGTGGAGCGTGGAGAGAAGGCCAGCAACTCGTCCCTGAACCGTCGTCGCATGGGACCAGAATTGACTCCCAAAGACTCGTTTGTTTCGATCCGAGAATTGATGGATCCATTCATGCGTGGGTTCACAAACACATATGCTTCAATAGCTCGCCTTGATCATCACAAGCCTGCTGCGAGTCTTACCTCACCCACTCACGGCATCTCCACTGTCCAGGTCCAGTCCTGTTCGCCGGCCTTTTGGGCTTCTTCTCCCTCCGCCGCAAATCCATGAGGTCCTCAATACGACCCAGTGGCAAGCAGCGGCTACGGAGTTGTTCCACGTCCACCATCGTCACGGTCTCAGGGCCCAAAGGTCCTTCCACCTGGACTGGACACATGGGGATCTCTCCTGACAGAGCAACAGTTCGGCCGGGACAGCTCGTTGAAAAAGGCGAAAAGGCTGTGAAACCATGTAAGAGTCATGTATGGATATAACATGTCAGTAAACCCCGCCTGGAGACAGCAGGTGGGAGTTTTCTGTAGTTTTCTCTTTTATATAATTACCTCTAGTTTCGCAGCTCCATGTCACAAACCACTCGCCCAAAAAGTCCTGGGAAATCAGGAGAGTCCACAGGGCAATTCTGTCGGAAGTTCTCTATCTTCATGGCCACTTTCTTCCGGGGGTCCTCGCGAATCGCGGGCAATCGCGGCCATTCTTCGGCATGCTATCGCCGGTCTGGAAACATCGTTGACCCGAAGATTTCCTGGTTTCCACATGTTTCAACCAGAGTGATTGTAGCATGAATGATGATTCATGATGATCCATATGAGCTGGGCCCGAGGCCTTTACTTTCTTTACTTGTATAGTTCATCTTGGGAGGCTTTTGGTCTTGCTCATATGATTCCATGATGTTCAGTAGGCTCTCGCCATCAAGTACCCTAGGCCCTACGTGGGGCGTTGGCGGCCGAGGATGCCGAGGCACTGAAATGGCCTGCTCCTTCCTTCGAGTGGCCTTGCCTGAGGAAGAAGGAGCACGACAAGGGGAGAATGAGAAGCTCATGAGGCCATTTTGGTGTAACAATTATACAGTGGGTGACGGGTGTCTTGGTGAATGAAACCTTGGGGCCCTGCCATGAGCTGCCTATGAAAGCCGAGATGCGTTTCTCTTCAAGCTCCTGTTGCTCTTCTTCACGCCTTTTTCGCTCCTGGTGCTCATGGCCCAATCCGTCCCGAACCCATTGGATCGACACCTATCAACACGTCAATGCACACCTCATTCACTTGGATTACTGGGATTCCAGCAAAGCAACTGCAGCTACGCAGCATTTGCCCTGATAGCGTCCCAAACCACTCTATCGAGTTCTCCTTCTTTCTTTAGTAGTTCTAAACTGCGCATGAATACGCTTCCCACGTCCGGCCGCCCAGCCAGCTGAACACGTCCTCTTTTTCCTGTTTTGACTTGAGATCTTCAAAGCGCAGGTTCCGGACGATGTCCTCCAGCCTGACGTGGCAAAACACTCGGATGGTTCGCAGAATAAACCTGGAGCAACTGCATACCATACCTGGTCGAACAAAAAACTAGCCGAACCTGCCAGCCAGCTGACCTGCGAGCCGAACCTCTCAGTCTTGCTCAGTCGATCTGTTTTCCCCTTTTCACCTTGAGGAGGTCATGTCAGCTGTCATTCAAGTGCCTCATAGCAAGCATGTTAAACATATTCTGCATGAGTCAGCGTACCATTTATGGATACGTATGGTGAAGTGGTGTTATCAGAGTCAGGTCACATCATCCCTGACGACTCTACACCAGTTCCATGCTGGGAATTACTCGATCCTACGGTGTACAATACATCGACAACATTCGACAACTCGACAACCTGCTTCAGCACTTACTTGAGCAGTGAGGTTGATCTCTCAGTTGCCCAAAGACTCCCACTCACCATCTGCCATGTCTGCCCAAAAACAGGTCTTCCTTTCTCCCACTCACCCCCTCATTCCCACGGCAGCCCATCCCGCCTGTCAGTGACCCCACGCATATCACGCCCAAAGGTCTCCGCCATTTGCTCCACCGAGTCCCTCCTGGAGCCGCTCCGCCCGTCCTCGCTGCGCCGCCGCCCGAGGGCGAAGCTGCCGGTCCCGGTCCGGCCGCGGAGCGTGTCCAGCGCGTCCCAGCGGCGGTTCTCGCGGCGAGCCACGGTGGAGGGGCGACCTGGACGCCACGTCTGAACAGGTCGACCTACCTGGAAAGAGCGGGCTAAAAATACACTCACATGTATACGATATATATATATATAGATTTAAATCTGCAAAACTGTTCAGTGACGGCCCGTCTCACTCCAAAACTTTAGGCAGTCTCGCATTGAAAAAGATTCCTACAGCCCGCTGCTAGGTAGTCATCCGTGTTGGAACATTGTATAGAGCCTGGCAAACATCCCCAACCGCGACCAAACACGAAAGAAATCCCATCTGCCACAAATGATAGATCGGTTCAGATTCCCATGATCCGATGATGTGACCGAGCATGTATATAACTCTAAATTTACCTCCAATGAACATCTCAATTTATACCAGCGCGGAATATCATCTCAGTCATACACCAGCACTTTTAGCTTACTCGAAAGTTCCCAAAATCCATCGACAAGGAGCAAGGACGCTACTAGGGGCTCCTGGCATCGCTACTACTACTACTACTGCTACTACTACTACTACTAGTACTAGTACTAGTACTACTAGTAGGAGCAAGGACGCTACTGGGAGCTCCTCCTCTAAAGAAAAACCCCTGGACTCGTTCCCTGACCCCCTGCCCTCACGCCTGCACCGCTTCGCCCCAGCGACGGCTCAGAGGCGCTCAAGGCCATGCCCGCTGCAGCGCGGATCGACGGCGCCTGGGCCGTCCGCCGAGCGGGGAGCTCGGGGAGGCGGCTGTCCTGGAATAGCGACTGCTGGGGACTCGGAACACAGATGGTGACCCCATGGTCAACTCCAAACATGCTTCAACACTGATGTAGATCCCTATAGGGCACTATGACATACTATGACCGAGATTATGATGCAGACTAGTGACTAGTTGGGAGCGTATTCTGGAGACGGCTGGCATACCAGTTTTGCTGCTAGAGGATGGCAGCGGTTGTTTAATTTACTCTAATTTTCTGTTTTACGTGTTTTTTTAGCAGTTGCGTTGTGTTGCCTGTGGGTGTGGTGCCTCTTGGAGTCTATTGTCCATTGTTGGACTCGAGCTTCATTCTCAGAACCTGCGTCCGTGGGTTACCAGCGTGGTGTTGCTTCCCCATGTGGCGCCAAGAGGACACAGCTTACAACGGTGGGAGCACAAGTTCCAACCACTGCCCAACGGGGGGTGCCCAACGGGGGGACTCGTACGAGGCATTACTGCTGGTCTGTGCTGTGGCAGTTGCATTCCAAGCTTTACCACCAAAGTCTGCATAGGCGAAGAGTACACCAACGCACCTAACTTGCTAAGTCCACGTTGGGGAAGGAATTCCATAGACAGTTCTGTCCAGCCTCTTTCGGCAACTAATTACACTGGAATTATCTTCAACCCATCCAACAAATACAAACATACATATACGGTACCACGTACGTTTGACCCGGGACCCCGCTCCTTGCGCATGACCTGCCGGGCGGTTTGGGACATGAGCCCCGTCACCGGGCGAGGTGCCTCCATGGCCAGGCATAAGGCGCGGATGGACCGTCCGATGGGCCCTCGTCCCTCCGAGAGGCGCGCCTCTGGCGTGCAAGGAAAGGGGTAGCTTCTTGTTCCTAAGGCCAGGAAGCGTCCTTGCTCCTTATGATATTGGTAGTATTGTCTGTTGTAAGATGTTGTAACGCCAAAACTGCCAATGGCATGCATGTTAGGGCTGTAGCTCAGCCAAAATGCTCTTTGCAGTACAGTAGTTCATTGCAAGTGACTGTGAATCAAGTCAAGCTTTCAATGAACTTCTATGGAGGCCAGCGGGTAAAGCCCACATTCCTATTCCACAATGGGCTGCCAGTTTGTTCGCCATGATACAACTGGTGCACTCTTGCTGTCCATGTTGTCCTGCATTTCTGGTTGAATGAAGAATTGATGTGGAGATATGTGGAGTATATACATTCGGCTGCTGTTATCTGCCGTCATCTGTTCACTGTGGTGTTCCACCTTGGCTGCTGTCTTGGACAGGAGCCAAGCTACTGCGGCGACGAGGGGGCAGCACGCGCGAGAAGCAAGTGTCGGTACGAGGACTTCATTCACCACACAACCAGGCGAAAATTCTGAGGCCAGAATTTCGATATGAGCGTGGTCCAGGCCTCCACAGAATCCGTGGTGAGATGAACATGTTGCATGTAGGATCTCCCTATTCCAATAAACACCCATATCATCGCAACTATAATATATTCCATAATGTAGACAATGTAGACTGTTGATGCATAACCTCTCCCCCGGTGCCAAAAGGGCTTTACATCCCCGTATGGGTGGTTTGATTAATCAGTCTACATGATGTATACCTGTTTCTGCTATAGACCTTTGTCCTCGCACGTTACGAGCACCAGCTAGTCAAGGCGATGCCGGGTGGAAGGCCATGCCCGGCCTCTGTACCTTCACGGCCACGCAGCCATGTTGCTCCAGGTCGAGGCAGTAAACCTCACAGACCGTTGACAGTGTTCTATACAAGCCTCTGCCAAGACGCCTTCTCAACAAAGGACATGATTTCACAAGGCTATCGCCTTTAGGGGTGTCTATCGATTTTCTCGGGCTCCAACCACACTGTCAACATATACGTGAACACATTCAACAACTCCGGCGACATGGTTCCGCTTTCAAGCTGGGTCACTTTGGGAGGCTCTAGCAAACTTCCAAAAACTCAATGAGATTCACGCTCTTTACTAACTTGGTCGTCGCATGAGACCATGAATGACCATGGGACGTCAGGACAAGTCCCGACAAGGCGGGCTTGTCCTGATGGGACGCGCACACCCATGCGTCGGGGACTGATCCTCTGATCTGGCTCACAGGCACTTGATCCGTTTTCTGAGTTTGCTCGGGAGTGAAGGTGAGAGGGCCAGGCCAAGGTAGGCAAAAGTTACGTAGGAACCTCCCTTTGTGTAACGTACAAAATGGCACTGAATACCCCTGCCTGCCCCAAAGAAGCTGCAGCTACTGGCTGCGACGGCAGGGCCTGCAACATCTGCCACTCAGGAGAGGCCAAGCATAAGGGTAATCTTGAAGCCCCAACAGAGTTGAGTCAATTGGGAGTAACTTAGACAATCTTGATTGCATAAACCATGAAACATTGGCAAAGGCGATGTGGAGGTACTTTTGAGCAGTGTTGCAAGCACAACCGAACAGTAGAGTTCAGATGAGTTCAGTGTACACAAAAGACTTAACATGACTCTCTTCCAGAAAAAAAAGGACCACCCGAGATGCAGAGCGACCCCGCGCCGCCGTGATCCAAGGTGGATCACCTGGACTTTTCGTGTTCCGTTCCTCTCGGTCAGGCCTTGTCACAGTCACAGTCGGACCAAGCGGCAAAATCGTCTCGTGTCTTTTTCAACGCTCGAAAAAGACCTATAATCACTCACGTCGAGATATCTATGGGCGTCATATGATCTGGTGTAGTCGCGAACCATGAAGATGCCACATTGCGAGCAAAATGAAGGCTGTGATCACCCAATACTATGCGCCGCTGTGCCCTCGGGAAAGCAATCCAGTTCACCAAATAACTGATCTAGCAGTAAAGTTGGCACTTAATGGCGACTTGGGCGACCTTCAAAAAACACCTTTTCACTCTTGGGTCATCTTCGGCTCACTTGAACTTTCACCTGGAGGCTGGAAGGCTGAACAAAAAAGCAGGGCTGACCACGCCACAATCGAATGTATGCCATATATTCTCTAACACCTTTCTCAATTGACAAAACATAATGCTCATTAATGCTCCAAGTCACTTGGTACGAAACATGTCGAAACATCAATTAGTGTTTCCATGTGTTTCCCTATGTTTCCCTTGACACAAACTTTGTGCTCTGAAAGTGCTTGGTTCACTCAAAACATCCAAGTCCATCAGAGTTTGTCACCTCTTCCACTTGCGCCGGATATTGTGACCTCAGGTCTGGACTCCGAACTGCCGAGTGACCAGCGCACACATGACGAACTGAGCTTTCGACAGTACGAGCAGTTCTTCCGGTTGCAGTCGCCAGTCTGCATGTCAAGTCAACAGCAACCGGGCCATGAAGGGCGGAATGGCAAGCTTCTGGCTTGACGCTTCACAAGTAGGCACCGCTGTGCTCCGGCTTACCTAACCTTATGTGTCAAGGGGTCAAAGATGAAGCAACAAATCAACCAACTGACTCCCTGACAATCTGAAGTACACGTGGTCACCAACCTGTGAAACGCACACGTTCCACCGAAGCTTGGCCCGTCCCCACCTCGGCGTGCCGGCAAGCAATGCCTTGGCGCTTTCTGGCCAGGCATGGCTTTCCATCTCGCCAGCACCGGCAGCGCTTCTCGTTGGGAGCCTCAAAGCAAGCCGGGCGGTTGCGGGGTTCAGAACAGCTGAGTGCAAGGCTCTTTTTGGCTGGATCGAGGGGGCCAAAAGCAAGGCATACCACTAGCTTCATCTAGCTTCCGCTTCATGCGCTCCATGCTTCCAAGAAACCAAATCAGCAGCATATGTGGGCAGCTCAATACTCGCCTCTGCGCAACATAACCCCAACTAGATCTGCTATGGTCACATTCTATCACCTAATTCGGTGGTAGTCTTTCACTACATCACAAAAAAACCATACATATATATTATATTTGTTTCTTATATATCATTACAGTAGCAGCATACCCAGCGTATACAACCATTGGATGCAAATTGGAAGCTACCGCAACGGCGATGTCCCAGACAATGAAACAAATCTGGGCTCAAATTCTCGACATTTCTGTGTTTTAGAGAACGCGGTGTCCGCCAGATGCAATTTCCAACGTTTCCAGGGCGTGTCAAACTCCTGTAGTATTGGAAGAATGACGGGCAATTTGCGACGTTCTCCAGTCCTGTCGATGTTGACCGATCTAAACACTTGACGAGAAAATCTCCATACATGTCATGTTGCCTGACTTTTTTGGCTCTCTGCTTCCTGATTTGCGATGCCTCCCATCTCATTGATTTCTCATGGAGTTCCTCTTTGGTTTCCGATTGGTTCTTAATGATCAACAAATCCAAAACCTGCCGGCGGAAATCCTTATAAATGAAATCAATCCTTGTTGATCAGCTACATCAACTATGTGTGTGACGGACGCAACTTCTTTGTTTCCGCTATTTTGGGTTGGTCCCTATCGATTTTCAGTGTTTTGGAATCACTAGCTGAACTTTTCCCATGAGCACATGTCCTCGTGATGACAAAATCAACCTGCAAAGGTTACGCGTCATGAAGCCCACATACACTTAGATTCTTCTGAGCCTATTATATGGATCCATCCAAGGAGTCTATTAAGTTGTACTAGATGTTGTACTCATTCTCAGAGATTCTTTCTTGACTCCTGAAATCCTTCCGAACATTTGGCTCTTTTCATCTCCCTTCAAAGCTATCCTATCCTTCAATCCAGAAAGCCTCTGTAATTTTTTGGGGTAGTTTGGGGGGTCCGTCTGTGGATCAATTAGACGTCCCCCCAAAGAACCGCATGACTCGCCTGAGGCATCTCCGGCGAGGGAGCTTCCAGCCTTAGTGCTGTGAGGCATGTGACCATCCAAATCCTTCAAAGTTAGCACATCAAGCTGTCGATTGTTCTTTAGAGGTCGACAAGGCCCGTGGGTGGAATATCAACATATGAAGTCAGGAGGAACGTCGTTTAGTAGACCAAGGAAACTCCAAGAAGCAATGCTTGATGAGGCACTCTGGACTCTGGCACTTTGTGACTCACTTTGGAAACGGACTGTGTTCACCGACAAAGGTGTTAGAATGTTAGAACCTGTTGCTCTTCAACGATAAAAGCTGGTCTGTTCAAATGATTTCAAACAGACGTTCCACAGTATTAAATGGCTTGGTATGGCTTGGTGCCTCCCATTTTGCGGCAAAGCAACATGCTGGAACTCGCATCGCAGTTCTCCTCGGCCTGGGGCCTCTCCAATCCGATGTCTGCACTCTGCTTCTTCACGCTGGCATCCACTGCCTGGTGCACTGGCATGGCAGCTACATAAAGCTCTGCAAAGGCTCGGATAACCCATGGCCTCGTCAGAGTTGCATGCCCTTTGAGGTCCACTTGCATGGCCTGAAGGCAAGACGGCAAGGTGCGATGGAGACAACATCCCATCCCCAGTCATTGGCTCATGCCATGCTGCACTCATTCTGCCACATTGTTGCAGCACAAAGAGCGGGTGATGCCAACACATGCACGTCCTGCCTTCGGCCATGTCCTGGCTCGAACTCAGCGTACCCTGCGAGCGTTTTCACAGAGGGGCAACTGGAACTACGGCGAAATCTGTCAGCCAGACTGCACAACCAGCACGATGCCTCTGCAGACTCCTCTTGCTCCTCGCCTCAGGCCAAACCAACCGCAATTGATTGATCTAAAAAAAGCATTTATTGTGCAGATCAGCGTGATGTCATGAGTCTGCTTCATATGAAGTCAATGTCATCAAACCATCTGAAGTGTGAGTTGCCTTATTGTTGACAGCTTTGGTTGCTTCAACAGCATATAACGTGTTCATATCAACATTGCTGAATCTGGTGTTTGCAGGATCACCATCTTCGTGCCAGCCTTTCATGGTCTCCGCAGCGCCCATGGCCTGGTGATTCGAGGGAGCACAAATGGTTCTGTGTAGCTGGTGCCTCGCAGTTTTGGATGTGGTTCAGTCGCTGAAGATGTGTGTAGGAAGCCGAATCCTCATCCTTGCTCAAACAGGAGACGAATGCCAGATTCACAAGGCCTTTTTGCATGGTGGACCAAGTCCTTGCCACCATTTTCCGAGATCTTCAGTTCCTGGAGCGTGCAGGGCCAACATCGCAACCGTTCCACAAAGCGGCGAAGCCAAAAGACTTCACATCACAGCGACCCAACTCGTGCTTCATATGCACAAATTTTCAGCTTTTGGGCTTGAAGCAGTGGCCGAACACTTCGAAGGACTGGACTTAACTCTGAAATTGTGTTGAAATTTCTGTGCTCCTTGGAGGCCATCGCTATTAGTTTGGAGGCCATCGCTAGTAGGTTGGAGGCCCCTGCCTGCATCATACTCATCATCATCGATCATGTCAGCCCAAAATTCCTTGGCCTTCGTGCCGATTCACGTTCGAGGGTAGAGCGCGGCTGATTGACGAGCTTTGACATGCAAGTGCCAGGAATTGAAACATTTGGTTGTGTCAAAGTATCAAGGGAGAGTAAAGAATCGCTCCAAAAAGACCGTTGCAACATGAAACACCAAGGCACATGCAGCAAACAAAGCTCCAATGCATCTGATCAATAGAGTATGATTACGATTAATTAGAATTAAGATGAATTAAGTGCATCGCTACTAGTAACAAGTGCATCGCTACTAGTAACAAGTGCCTTTCTAGTAGTAACAAGAAGCTATTAGTAATACATCTTAATACATATTAATTATTACATATTTTACATAGACGACTTTTGCACGCACGTGACGTACATATTTCAAGTTCATTCCATCTCCAAACGTGTTGAACCATACCAATTGTTCCCTGCGCGCAAGGAGTTGGAGCTTTTGGAGACCGCATTATTGACTGAAACTGTGCACACTCTGAGGTCACCATTCAAACTCAAGCGCACCACACAATTTGGGCACCAAAAAGCTTCATGTTCACCTCAAGCCCCAAACCGCCCCAAGTCCCGACAGCTGAACTGCCCTGTGCTTCCGCGCCTTTGAGTGCCTCGGTTCAGCGGAAGTCGCAACTGAAAAAGCTTCGCATTTTAAGATCCAATATAATTCCTTCTGGGATGGGTCATGACACTTCAGGACCCTAGTTGGACTAGACCATTCAGGAAAGTCAACCAGGCTTGCAGCGCAATGTCTGCTGCCCCATACGTAGCTCTAGGTCTTTCAACAGGGAATACGAAGGGATTTGTTATGATTAAACACACTACAAGGGAAACCTGAAGAGTGAACACGGGGACTGAAGAGCAGTAACTGAATGAACAACCCAAGAAACCAAGAAACGAGTCACAGGGTACAATGCATTCAAATGCCTATAAGAGTCCGTGCGAGACACTATATATCTATAAGTCCAAACTTCTTTTGCAACGCTCTTGGTATAGGCGACCTAATCTGGATATGGATCCTGGATTCTCGATTTATCTCAGGCCTCAGTGTGCCAAGCTGTGCCGGCAAAATTAACCTGTTGACAAGTGTTGACAAGTCAATTCCTGCACTTCAGCCAGAGACCTGGTAAATGAATGTAAATCAATGTGTTTGGTCCGTGTTTGATATGCATTGATCCGTATTGTATATGAAAATACCTTCTGTTCGGCCACCTGGAAAGCTTCGGAACTTCAATGCTTGAAGCATGGCACAGGCAGGATTCCTGCACCGTGCCATGAGACAAAACAACAAAAGACAAGCATGTCACTTCATGTCAAGACCTCAACATACCCACTAGCACTATCTAGCACTAGTAACTAGTAGCTGCAGCTCCCTATCTGCAGCTCAGTCGCCCGTGGATCACTTGCTCGTGATTCTCCTTTTGGGCCAGGCACTTCTCATTCACCACGGAGGTGCAGAACTCCGTGGTGCTCGCGTCCACTGCCTGGAACCGATGGATGGGTGATTTCTCGGTTCGCCACCAAGCACCTGAACGAAGCCGACCACTCATTGAATCTCTAGAGACATAGCTTGACACCTGGCCCAAGCCTTAAGCTATCTGCAATAGCAAACAAACCTCCCTTTAATTGCTTTAAACATCTTTTAAGTGCTTCCACGCTGCGTACAGTAATCAATCTTGTTGCATTTCAAGTGCACCCGGGCTGTTTGCTTGCAACTATATAATTATGATTATACAAAATCTGCTTGGAATTGCCTGAACAAATTCCCATGCTTTGTTGTGTCAGTTTCTTGTGCTGTTCGCTTTCTAACCTTTGTTGTATTCCCACTCTGGAAGAAGCGGAAAGGGCTTGGCTTGGCGCCCAAAAGGAGTGTTGCGTACAGCTTCAGCATGCTTCAGCTAAGAGCTGGGATCAGGAAAAAACTATCAAATCCTGAAAGAAGCATCGAAAGGCCATAGAAAGCGTTGTAAGACTTCAGGAACCGACTGCTCCGACACTGAGAAGTCGCCCAGGAACAATTCGGCAAACTGCTCCACTCGCGTTGAATGCAAAGCGACCGCACTACTCCGTTTGCCAACAGGCATCGCGGCGGACTGTGTTTGGGACCTCCAGAAATCAACCAAATAGGTTGTGGTTCCTGGTGTTAGTCCAGGGCTTCGATGAGGTACTGTCGCACACACGTGTAATATCGCGGGTTGAAGCATTCTGGTTTCAGAGTCAGGTATCTGCGTTTTGAAGAGTTCTAACGGTGAGTGTTTGTCGCCTCACACAAGAGTGTATGGGCCAGCCATAGCCAGCCCATGTTTTGCCTGATGCACCTAATGTTTGACCTCTAGCTGCGATCTGTTCATTGCATTTCGATGTGTTTCAATGTCTTCGCCCAACAAATCGCTGGACGAACAGCCCCTCTGCTCCTCGTCACCAGCACCAGGGCTGCCCGACACCTGTCCAAAGTGGCGGAGGTCTCTATCTATCCCTGGGTTTGGGGCGCAGTGGTTTGGGCCACAGCCACTTGAAGCGCTTGTCATTTTCATTTCAGCAGCTGCTTTACCATTGCTGGGCATGAGTCGAGTCAAGCCTTCGTCGCCATTGGTGAAGAGGGCCTGTCATCAAAGCAGCTCTGTCATAGAAACTGTGGACTGAAGGTCCTGGCAACAAACAAATAGGCTGAAAGAGCCTATAATAATTACACAATATTATGGCACAACCTTGCCTCAAGGGAATGCCCCTGGTGGCTGATCACGCTTGAGCCGTAAGCGTGCTAACAAATCCAACAGTTCAGTGCGGAGAAGTTGGTCCCGTCATAGAAACTCAGAAAATTTCAGCCCTACTGGTACGAACAATCAAGCAAAGACAAGTTTTCCTTCATTTCCATGACAAACTACATGTTCACCCGACTCCAGATTGCATCATCCACACGGTATGATTCATAAGTTTTGAAGACTTTGGGGTGGTGATGTCACCGGAAGGTTAGCGCCGGTATTGATCTCCTTGGTCTAATGGAAGGAACAAGAAAAAACAGGTCTTTCAAAGCAAACTCTAAGCAAAGAAAGTCAAAGCAACAAAGGCGTAGAAATCCTTGGTAGATTGAGATCGATTCCGCTTGGAACTCCCAACCTCCAGGGCGCGATCTGGCCAAGCCTCACCAGTGATTGGGGGGACAGCTGTGACATACACATACCCGTCCTGCAAATTTCATATCTAGGACCAGAAATGAGCCACAACAAGTGTTTACAGTAGTCCTCTTCCATATCTGGTCCCACTAGGTCTCACGGAATTTCTGTCCAATCCTGTGAGTGAGGCAAGACATGAAAGAGTGTTCACCCATGAGCAAAGCACATCCTTGCAAGTCTCTGCCCCTCAACTGCCCCTAAAACCACAAGCATCCTCTAACACACTCACTGCATGCCCAGCATGCCCCGAAAATCTCCGCTTCTGGGCCTCTTTGAGGATTGCTTCGGCTTCCTGAACAGCGTTTTTGTGGAGCCCTCATTCTGTAAGTGGACAGAAGGGAATACCACAGGCTTTGCTCTATGAGTCTTAGGGTGTCTAGTTTTTGAACCACACCCAAATAGGGATCTTGGAGACAAATGACTCAATGACTATTCAATAACTTATCTGGATGGAATTGGCAACTGTCTGATAGAGCAGTCACAGGCGACAGGCCAAGTGTGAGAATCGATGTAAGTACAAAAGAAACGGCGTGCACAAAGCTTCTGAGTTGCAAAGATGAAACCTAATCCTTTGGAAAGGTGAACCACTCAAAGGCAACCGAGAGCCTTTCAGCTTTTGCACCTGACTTGCCGCCATTTATCTCAGAGAATGGCTTCCAGCTGGAAGCTGTACAGAATTCGGTTGATGCAGTCATCTCTTGGTCTGGGGTTGTCAAGCTTTGAGTTCCACCAACATGGATTTCATAGGCACTGTGTGCTATCAAGATCCATTAAGAGTAGGTTCAGCTCACAACACACTGACTTACAGTAATTTGCGAACTCTTCAATTCTACCGTGCCAAATTAAAACCTAACAAATCCTAAATCATCCTAAATCATGGTATCAAACTCCGATGATCCCACCCAGGTAGGTGCCTCTTTGGGGAAGGGTGCCACGCGGTCCGTGAGGCGTCCCAGCTCCTCCACATACGCTGGCCTTAGCGTGTCCGGTCCCGAAACTGCAAGCAAATGGGAGCGGGAGGGATTGAATTTCGAGCTCTCTTGCACGCAAGCCTCGCAGCAGCTGCAGTTTCCAAGGAAAACAAGCAAAAGTTCGCCATTGGGTCTTCCTGAGGAATGTTGAAAAGGAATGAAAAGGATTGAACAGCTGCTTCCGAACATGCTTTCTTCATGGAGTTTCTTGGTTTCTGGGGAGCGTCGATATATGACTCTGACGATGAAGTTCAACGACAGTGTCCCATCTCCGAAAAAGCAGAGAATGCTCCAATGAATCGGTGTCCTTGGATTGCAACACACTCCATCCGCCGTATAAGACTTCAAAAAAGCAACGATCGGTTTGTCATCAGCAGTCCCTATGTTCAACCTGCAGCAAACGAGCAGGGGAACCGGGTTTGACAGGTGAGAAAGGCACAAGAACGTGGTCCTCGGAAGACGAGTCGGCCTCGATATTCAAACAATTGCACAACTATTTCAATATTTTATAATATTTCAATATTTCCAGTCATCATCATTGTCCGCAGAAGCCAACGGCAGCAGGCTATCTTGTTATAAAGTTACAATATATTATATGGTTGTTGTATAAAACTTGGCTGGGGACAAGCCAACGGCAGCAGGCTATCTTGTTATAAAGTTACAATATATTATATGGTTGTTGTATAAAACTTGTCGCAAGAGTGTTGGTCAAATTATATACTTGGTTGGAGGTTCCCTAAAAGCTAAAAGATCTTACCCCTTTCCCAGAGGGGTCGAAAGGGAGGAACCATACACATCAGTGTTTGCTCCTGGTTCGAAACAAAAGCCAGGATCAAGCGACGGCTGACATTGTCAGCCTCTCTTTTCTCCATGCACCGCGGCCAGCCTCCAGTCTGTAAGGTTCTGGGTCAAACATAGGCTAGGCCTACCCACTGCACAGACCATATGCAGGTCTATGTGTGTTTGTCTTGTTCATCTTTCAAAAGAAGAAAACACAACCATTTAAGAACCAATCCATCTTCAATTCACCAATCTTCCTCCTGAACCATGGCCACCGAGAACATTCAGTTCGACCCAGAAAACGTGACCACATGCCTATGTACATGGCCGCTGGTCTCTCGACAGCACGGCCGGTCGAAAAACTGGTCAGCGCAGGAGTGCCACTGGCAGGTCAGACTCTCCGAAATGGAGCTGACAAAGCCTGAGGCAGTCAATGGACCGCCACATGTTGACTGATTCATTCAACTACCCTACAATCTGGGGGTTTTAGCAATCCACATTAGGTGCTTGTCAACAGTTGCTTCCTGGGAATGAGAGAGAATGAGTCGGATCCGCCGACCAAGTGCAAATCTTCAGCCACATCTGTCACCTACCAGGAAAGCCATCCAAACATTCCAAAACACAACCCAATAAGGAGATATAAGGCTGCACTAAAAAGTTTGTCAAAATCACAAGCAAGAAGCGCTTGGAAGGTCTTCCGGCACCGTAGACTCTCTTCGGCACTGCTGAACTTGGCTAAAAGCATCCGGCGCCTCAGTATAATCATGCCAAGGAAACAAGAATGCTAGTGATCGCTAGTGGCCTATTTGCTTGCACCCATTTGAAAAACCAGCTCCAGTTTGGGAGAGCCTCACTGCTAAACCCCGAAACCCATGACAGAGTCCCGACTCGGTCTGGTCGTGTCGGTTGTGTCCGGCGGGCGTGTCTGGTGGATCGAAGGAGTCGGCCTTCGACGATGAGACGAAACCGATGAGACGAATGGGACATCGTGGTTTTGGTACCGCTCCGACAGCTAGACCTCAGACCTCCAAGCTAGACAGCTGGTCAACACAGTCCTATCTGCAGGTATTGAGACAAAACGAACACATCCAACAATTGACCACTCAGTGACTCATGATGGATGACACAATGAGCTTGTCCATCTTTGTCCTGTTGCGACACCTTTAACGAGGAGCAAGCTCAGGAGGTAGTGCAAATCACGCTGGCATGTCTTGCCATGGTTGGCCTCCAGACCATCCATGTAGTAGTGCTTATATTTCCAGAAGCCTGCGAGAAGCGCTGCTGCGGCCGCCACCAAAGCCAAAGCCACTATATAACATTGCGAACATGCACATTTCACCAACTCCACAATTGTAATCAGCCTGACTCTGCTGATCCTTTGACAGCATCCATTCATCGTACAAAAGTCTTCATGTGTTTTCACCAAAGCTATGCCACCTCTTTGGAATCCCCTGATCCAACGCGGAGACCTAAGGCTACCTACTGAAGCTCTATCCATATGCCAATATACCCTAATTTAATTCATTGCTCTTGAAACTTGACCTACCTCACTAGAGATCAGCACTCAACTCAGAAGGGCCAATCAATATGTCATGCCACCAACTACTCACACCTTGTGACTTGTGACTCTGTTGCTCCCAGGCTCCAAGTAGCTGACAACCAAGGTCTTATGGCTTATGGTGTGTATCCATTCATGAGATGTGCCAAGTGAATTTCCAAAAACATCACACACCGATCCTCACCTTGCCAGCAGGCATCTTTGTTGTTCCCAGGAGATTTGGCCGCATAGAAGTAGCAGTTTGCCACCTCACAGCAGCCCATGATGTCCAAAAATGTGAGTCTTGCAGAAAGTCATTCTTCAAAATGAGTATATAAATCAATGCAGCAAAGTCCGAGACCTATTTAACACCCAGCACATGAAGGGTCGAAGCCATTGAAGGGCTCCTCCTTCCCTATTGAATTCAGTTGATGTCGAATGTGTGACAGATCCGCTATTCCGCTATTCACGAGCGATTTGTGGTAGCCTTGGACCACCGACGGTGTGATGTGTACCTGTCGTTGGACCCTGCTGTCCCACCAACCAAGAGGCATTGTTGGCCAGCTGCAACATCCTCAGAGCCAAAGCCATGGATCCCAGGGAGGTTTTCAGTGGTTTTCGAGGCGAAGAGAGGGTTCATGCATGTTCATGCCCTTTGCGAAGGCTTGAAGGACATTAAACAAATGCTGATGCCGCGCGACACGACATCGATGGGACATGGGTCCATGGGTGCACACAGCATCCCATGTCTAAATGGCCCAAAGTGTGAAGCTGTTCAAACAGGCGTAGCCTGGCATAGTGACTGTGACTTCCGATGACTCTTACCACTCTGCCCCTCATGGATGATCATAGAGATCATAGATCATGCTTCAAGACGCTTCAAGCAAGCCTGAGCTGACAAATCCAGGAACATTCTGAGCAAATTCCCCTAAGCGAGGCAACCAAATGTTATTTCGAGGCTTGATCTCTGATTCCCAATGGACGCTGGCGAGCCAAAAGTTGCACCTGTGTGGAGCTTGTCAGCGAAGTACCCTCGCCTTGTCAACTTCCCACTAGGAGCAACTCCACCCTGCGAGTGCCCGCCATCACAAGCAAGGCACTGTGGATGCTGTAGGGGAATCACTTTGGAGATCGAAGCTGTGCGGAACCTGCAAGCAGCTTCAATATGCGTTGAGCGCCTCACCCGATCATCACCCAATCTCTCTTGACTCAACGGCCCGTAAAAGCTTGTCAACGTGGAAGTCTTGATGGGACAATTATAGGAGCATTGAACAAAAAAGAACACATGCAACTCACTGAATGCTGAACCTTTTCACGAGGGAGTCTCTTCAGAAAATGTTCACAAACAACTCTTTCCACACATCCAGAACGAGGGATTTACAATAATGGTTCTTGACGACTTGACACCCAGTGCTTTGCACGGTTTGGTGGAAAGCTGATCGGATGCAGATGTTCGTCATGGTACAGGGCATCAGAAGAGCAACTGGTTGATCTTCGATCAGACCACCCATGCGAAAGCTGAAGATGAAGTTTGGGGGTACGGGTAATTATATAAAGAAGACGGAGCTGGACAAGGCTTCCTGCTTTCTTTGATCGAATTGTTTCTGCTGGGTGTTTGTCATTACCGTGACTGATGGAGATGTGTGTTGCTAGTGCTGCATAAATTGTCTTTAAGACTTCCCTTCGCTCACCCTTCGCTCGCATACCTTCGGCCTGGTTTCCAACGCCAAGGCCTTTTCCAGCTCGTTGCCCCGCGCATTTTTGTCCTTCGACATAAAGTCGTTGGCCTTCCGAGCCTCCGTGGAGGATCCGCTTTCGCTCTATAGCGAGTCTGGTGCGAGGGCGGGTCGGACACAAGCCCGAAAGACTCGTTCCCGGGTGGTTTGCGGACCATATTACGAATCAATTGTGTCCTTGGCTCATTCATGTAGGCATGCCTTAAACAAAAGAAACGCACAATCAGACTTGCAAAAAAGACATCCTTGATCATTACTTATAATGTCTAATATATGTATAATTTTCTTCAGCAATCTTCGACGCATAATAATTGCCCACAGGTTTTGTGATAGAATGTATGCCCTTCTACGAACAACCTGACAGCCACGGGCAATGCTTGTCATGAAATATTTTACCAAAGCTTTTTCAAACTGACATTCTTCTTCCGTCAGTGCACGAGGTCTGTGTTGCAACTGTTTCTTTTCTACATCTTGGAGCAGCCCAATCCCTGGTCTTGTGCAATGAAAGCACCCTGTTACGCCGTGCTGCTTCCCACTTGAAGTTGCATACATGGGTCACCATCGTCCCTGCCTCCCGCTCCTCCCTGCTTCGCCCTGCTGCCGTTCTCCGCCCGCCTCGGCCAGGTGCCGAAGGGAGTCAGCCAAGACGAAGTGGGCTCCACAGGCCTTGGACGACGTGACGAGGTCCGGAGCGACGAGTGGATTCCGCTTCCAGGCCTTCGACAAACGCTGTTCAAAGCATGGCACCGGAGTCGCCCAAGCTTGCAGGAAGGGTTCGGACATGTTCAGGCCAAACCCCGCCAACTGAAGGCCAGCCATCATTCACCACTAACCTGCTCATATCTGGCAAGACCAAAGGAGACTCACGTCTCCATCCCCACTGCCCTCAGAATCACATACCTGGCTTACAGGGACACAGGGTCCGAGTGACCACCCTTACCATTGTCTAGG